TGATATATGTGCTCTAGCATTTTTAATCTCTTGCAGAAGGATTGGGAAGTGGATAAATGGTGATGGGATTGAAGCCAAACATATGATTTGCTTCTTCAATGTTCCCTCTTTCCTTAACAAGTTGTTTCTACTGGATTTTTGGGTGGATTTTGGCTAGGAAAGAGCATGCAAATTAAAAGAGAAAAATTTCAAGGACCATGCTAATATACCTTGTAAGTATGATATTGAAAAAAATAAAGTTTAGAAACTGCAGCATAAAAAGAGAAAAATTTCAAGGACCAAAAACAAAAATGGCTGTGAACAATGGGAAGAAGAGTTTAATGTATTGCTACAGTGAAAACACATCTTTTCTAGTTTATTGCTAGTCATATTGCCCACACGATACTGTCAAGCCATTTTAAAACAAAATATTTTATTACGATAATTAAAATAAATATTTATAAAATATAATGATTTAAATTATGAGAAAAAAAAAGCATTTATCTTGACAAAAAAAATTCTTATATATGTATTTTCTTATTTTGGTGGAACAATGAATTTATTACTAACAACATGTTTATTTGAATAAAAATTTAAACCAATTAAAGTAAATATCCGTAAAAATTCAAATGATCTAAATTAAGTAGGAAAAATACATTTTTTATCTAAAAATTTATTTTTTATTATTCATTTATTTTTTAATTTTGGCATGAATATTTTTTTTATTAAAAGCACAATTATTCAAATAAAAATTCGTAATGATCTATAAAGCAGTTCTAAAACAAGAAAGGAGAAAATAATATTTCAATTATTTTTATGTGATTAAACAAGAATAATTAATCATGTGCCGTATTATAAAAAATCAATAATAATAAAACATATATTCTATTCTTATTGACTATTTATATGTTTTTTTTACATATGCATATTAGTTTTAAATATGATCATATAAACATTAATATTATAATTAAAAATATCAAATATTATTTAAAAAGTATTGAAGAGTTCAATTAGTTTTTATAAATATCATTATAATCAATTATATAAATATAAAAAAAACATAAGATCCTAGGGAATCAAGTTGAAGAGCATCTTGGCTTGCAATACAAGTGTGCCTCGATTAGAAATGCAGGCATCTCACTTGAGCTTTAGAGCTTAGGGAGTTATTTCACAGATAGTAAATGATGTATTGTTTGCCTTCATCAATAATTTCAATCACCTATCTTGGCTCCGGTGACTTGAAAATTAGTGACCATGATTTTAGAGCCCCAAAAATAAAATTCCACACTGTTTTTCACTTCAAAACATGAAAAAACATGATCTTTAAAACCGAATTTTCAAAAAATATATATATTTAATTAATTTAAAAAATCAAAATCAAATTAATTTTTAAAAAATTATGTAGGAGGTAACTTTATGGGTCTAAAGGTCTAAACGATCAAAAAAAAATATAATTTGGCTTTTTTAAGAAAAATTCAAGATAATATTTTTAAAAAAATATTAAGACAATAACATATTAAATTAGTCAGAATTTTGAGTTTTTACCTGTCAAACTCTTAATCAAAATCATGGACTCTACTGGATTTAATAACTTTGTATTTTTTTAACCACTTATTGTTTAATTATAAAAAAAAAATCACAAAATCAAGTGTCTGGCCAGCATTAGAAAGTTTGTTTAAAATCATGACAATTCTATATAAAGTAAATCAAAATAAATTACAAAATTCAAAGCTTAATCATTTTGTTAACTTACTAAACTTGCAATCCAAATCATGGACTCCACTCGATTTAACAAGTTTATTTTTTCAGAAACTATTTTTTATTTAATTGTACAATATAAAATAGATATTAACAAAATCTAGCATCAATTAAATACGATGATATTTGTTTAAAATAGTAACAACCTTATAAAAAATAAACTAAAATAAATTATGAGAATTATTTTAAAATTAATTAAATATTAAAAAAATTAAAAATCAATTCCAATAAAAAATTCAAATTAAAAAAAAATCCAAACATGCAGGCTTGGATGATTGAACACACCTATACCTTTACAACAAAGTCCAAACATGTGGCTTACTAGCTTAGACTTGTAGGTCTAGGCTTTTTAATATTCTTTTAAACGGTAAATTATAAGGTTTTTTCAAATAAACATAAATAATATATCATTCACTAGTTGAGAATTTAACTATCAGAGTAATAAATGGATAATTAGGGGGTTTTTAATCTAAAATTTATCTTCAGTCATTTTAACCAAAAAAACCTACTAAAAACTTCTACGAATACTAATTTATCAGCATGAGAAAACCTATAAAATAGTCTAAAAACATAACATCAATTGATAAAAAAAATTTCTCTCCAACCCAATCCAAACATAAAAGGCTGCAATTAAAAAAAATTGTGTTACTTGAATCTGAATCGCTACATAGAAAAGGCCTAATTGTTTGTTTGTATTGTAAAGAGGCATTACGGCTATCATAGGTTTACAAAAGCATAGAAGAAATACTCCCGGAAACCACATGGACTTGGTGGAATGATATGCAAAACAAACGTACTCCGACTTTACCATGAAGCAATGTGGCCATTGAAATTTCAAATCTCGATCACGAGACTCTGCACTTTCTCACTGCTCAGCTCTATTCACCAGGATGTTGTGTTTGAAGACTTTTGTTCTCCAGGAAACTTCGTGAAGCATTTCCTCTTATTTTGGTATGTTGTTCGCAGAGCTACTGTGGTGGCTAGATTGTGTGTCTGTTGGAATTGTACTCTCGAGAAATTAAGTGACAATTTCCTTTCCTCCTGGGAAATTTCACTTCGATTCCGTACTTTATGCTTGTTTCTTCTGCCGTTTTCACTTGTAACAGAGCACAGATGATTCCCTTTGACGATACCCTTGCAATCTTCCTTCTTCATTTTAAAAAAATACTATATATTAAAAAAATACTATATATTAAATATTAAAATTAATAATATTATAATAACTAGAATTTACTCGATGGGTTGAACTGAACTGATTCAAATTTCAAAGTTCAAAATTTAGAACGCTCAAGAATAAATTTCTCCTTAAGAACACAGTGGACTAATGGCACGTCACTTGGCAGAATTTAATCCAATAGTAATATACCACGTTATCAAGCCACATGGGGTTCTCGAAAGTGACGTGGTGCCGGCTTTCTTTGTTTACCAATTACTAGGCAATGCCAGTCCAATTTTAGAAATTAGAGATGGATGTTTAACTTCAATGTACTCCTCGACTACGAGTAATTAACTAGTTTTTAGTATGGATTTGAGGTGTCACTGATGTTTCTGTGAATATAATTTTTTTAATTAACAAGCGTAAATTTAGAATATATAAGATAATTTAATTAAAACTTAATTTAACTAAAAAATTAAAAATAATATTATTTGAGATTTTTTATTTTATTTTAAACTTAACATAAAAAAATATTCAGATAATGGGAAACTATTTTATAGTATTACGAAACTTTGCCCGATAGGTTCATTTTAAAACTTTACAATGAGATAATTTTGCTTAAACTAAGCTTCAAGAAAAATACTTGGGTATTGTTTTAATGTGGTTCATACGCTTGGTGATTTCTTGGTAAATTAAATGTTAATTATCCTTCGAATGTTGCATAAACACAGGTTCACGTAAAGTTAATTTGCAACTAACAAGACAATCACAGCATAACGTGCTGAGAAATACAGGCTCATGTGCACATTACAGATACGCACACGCTTTGGAAACGTCTACGATCAACAAAGCACTACTGCCTGAATTTTGTTTCATGCATGCATTTTACCTTTCTTGTTTAACTTAGCCAAAAAGCAAAGGGCAAGCTGCAATATGCTCTGTATCTACTGCGAGGTTTCAATTTGGTCCCTCTCCCACTAATTCCACCAAGTTATGCCCATCTCTTCCCATAGTTGGACTTTGATTTGCACTTTGAGATTGTTCATAAGACTTACGCGAATCAATTCTATTTCTAGTCTTGTAATCATGCAGGCAAGTGAGAGTTCTAGACATTGCTGTTTAGTAATGAAAATGGATTGTGTATATGTGAGATAATAAAGTTGTTGCTAGGGAAAATAAAAGAATTAAGATGTGGAAATGGTAAGAAAATCACCCACATAGTTAGCATCCTAGCGATAAAAGGGAAGAGGCTTCACAATCTGAATAATCTGAGGATAGTTCCTGCGTAATCTGCAAGAGAGGAGCCTAATTGAAATTTACACAAGAAATAGAGGGCGCGATTGTAGTCTGCCTTCAAGCAAAATAGAAAACAATAAGCGGGAAAGCAAAAGAAATGGAGGGAAGCGCCAACAAGAGCGGGTATCGAACTCAAAATCCAAGTGGGCGTTATGAATAATTGATTTTGAAAATGCGGTTTAAGTGTGGAAAATTAAATTTTTTATAATTAATATTTTGAATTGTTTTGATATATTTATATAAAAACTAAATTTTAAAAAATAAAAAATAATATTTTAATATATGTCTAAATAGAAAATACTTTAAAAAATAACTTTTCCAATACTTCCAAACATAAAACGACATTGAGAAATCTAACCAAAAACAAGAAGAGTAAAAAGAAAGAAAAGAGAAAATATAAGGTGGCGGTTTCCTAGGTCGTCCGTTTGATGGGGCGGACACCATCATCTAGACCAATAAAGTAACGGTAGGATAGGATGTTATTTTTTAAACTGCAAACGCATAAAATAAATAAATTTTATTCAGATAATTAAATAGATAGATAGATATAAAAAACAGTAAAAATAGGTGTATATGCACACACGTGAAAACATAGATAAAAAAAGAAATTCAAAAAAGAAGAAGAAAGAAACTGGCACTTTTAGTACAGGCCACGGACGCTTTCGGGCTGTTTGAAATTGTTTAAAGTGTTTTTTTTTTAACATATATATATATATAATTATTCTTAATATCAGAAAATAATTTAAAATTTAAAAAATATATTTTTTTAAAAATACAACGCCATGCCAAATAAGATCTTCATCTGTCATAGTGTCATTCATTACTGTAACCAAACTCACCATCTTTCGTTTTTTTTGTTCTTTCAATTCTTCTCTCCAAAATCCACAGCACTCTCATTTCTCTCCTTCTCTTATCTTCTTCTTTTCAGGTATACCCTTTAACACGTGTCAAGTATAAATAAACCCCCTTTATGTCTCCTTTCCTCTCCTCTGTCCTGTTTTTGCTATCAAGTTTTTAAATTTCTGGGTTTTGTTTTGTGTGTCTTCTTTCTTTCTATCTTTGTTTTTTAGGTTCAAGAAACAAGAAATGGAACGTCTTGAAGGCGCTTTGAAGACCAGTTTTAGAAAAGAAATGGCCGTGAAATTTAGCCCACAAGTGTTAGATGATTTCTGGGCAGTTAATGTTACGAACGGCGTGTCCTCCGATGAATTTTCTGTTGACGAACTCTTAGACTTTTCTAATGAAAACGGCTTCATTGAAGATGAAGAAAAACCTTGCGCTGTCTCTGTTTCTCATAAACAAGAAACCCTCAAAGAAGACAAAAATAACGACAGGAGTCTTTATTTTGCTGTCAAAGAAGACTTTGTTTCTGTTCCTACAAGTGAACTTTGTGTGCCGGTCAGTGTCCTCTCTTCATTTTCTCTTTCTTCGAATAATTAATTTATTGGTAGTTTTCTCCTCTAAAAAGGTGTCATTTTTTTTTCAGACGGATGATTTAGCAAGTCTTGAATGGTTGTCACATTTTGTGGAGGATTCCAACTCGGAATATGCTGCACCGTTTCCGGCAATTGTTTCTCAGCCGGAGCCGGAAAAGGAGAATTTTGCTGAACAGGAGAAGTTCCTTACAGAACCTTGTTTCAAGACCCCGGTTCCGGCCAAGGCTAGAAGCAAGAGAACAAGAACTGGTGTCAGAGTCTGGCCACTGGGGTCTCCTACTTTAACAGAATCATCAACAAGTTCTTCCTCTTCAACATCCTCTTCAAGCCCTTCAAGTCCTTGGTTAATTCACACCAAACCCCTTTTGAATGCTGAACCGCTTTGGTTTGAGAAACCGGTAGTTAAGAGGATGAAGAAAAAACCATCTTTTCAGGCAGCGGCAAGCGGCGGTGGTGGTTCCCACTCGTCAAGGAGGTGCAGCCATTGTGGGATTCAAAAGACGCCACAATGGAGAGCGGGTCCAAATGGTTCCAAAACCCTTTGTAATGCTTGTGGGGTTCGATACAAGTCCGGTCGGTTACTGCCCGAGTACAGACCGGCTTGCAGCCCAACTTTTTCGAAGGAGTTGCACTCGAATCATCATCGCAAGGTGCTTGAAATGCGGAGGAAAAAGGAGATTATGGGCCAGACCGAACCAGGTCTGGTTCAACCCGTGGTTCCTAGTTGTGGATAGATTAGAACTATAGTCTAGAGAAAGACCGGGTATCTGGGGGAAGAGAGGATAGGGAATTGAACCCGGTTTCTAATTAGGTTCGGTTTTACTAGTGCACATTTTTTCTTCTCAGGGTGGGTGAGGTAGGTTTACTAGGTTGTATTTGTTACTGGATTAGCGAGGATTTTAATCTTAATACTGTGCTCTATGTTTTTAATTACTCACAATTTACTTTTCACTTCTTATATTTTCAGTTCACCTAATGATGGGAGTTATATATATATTATTTTACATTGAAGTGGTATTCTCGAACGGACAATATTCATTCCGAATATTTGCCGTTTACAAGGAAGATAGACTATCCATGATCAGGAACTGAAGTATAGTCGGCATGAGGGAGGGGGGTGGGAGCCGGTTATCTTAAATATTTTTCTTCTGATGGCCGGTGGAAAGCAAGAACAGTATGAAGCAAGATGGTGGTGTCCCATGTCCATTGAATAGGGAAAATGTATAATATATGTATATGTGTATATATATATAGCGTGAGATATACGCGGTTTGTGAAATCCTTGCCCCTGAGAAGGGGAATCTGGCCCTTTGTAAAAATGGGGCATTTAGCCCAAGGCATAAAGGCTGAGGTCGGGCATTCAAAGTTTTTAAATAAGCGCTCTTGCTGGTTCCCTCCATGGCTCCTTGAATCTTTTCAAAGGTGATGATGGTAATCTTGTTTTCTTGCACCTAATGTATTTTGAGGTGTCCCTTTTAAAAGTCCGAACCACTTAGCCAGATATTACTAATTAACTGAATCACGTGTCATGGCGTAACACTGGCTTGGCTTGTCCTTACAAGGACCAGTTTGCTGCTCCTGTTTTTTTTCCCTTCCTTTTAGCAGTAAAGTAATTTCACGTTTATTTATTATTTATTAGAAATTTCACGTTTATTTATTATTTATTAGAAAGTAGCTTTTAAAAAAAAAATTATTAGAAATTTCACGTTTATTTATTATTTATTAGAAATTTCACGTTTATTTATTATTTATTAGAAATTTCACGTTTATTTATTATTTATTAGAAAGTAGCTTTTAAAAAAAAAATTTATTTTTTAATATTTTATAGTGTAATAAAAAATAAATTAAAAAATATTTTTTAGTATTTGATTATGTTATGAAAAATAATTTATTAATATTTTATTTTTTTCAAGTTTATTAAAATAATAAGAAATAAATCTTACAAATTAAAATTTTAAATAAAATTAAAATTAAAAAAATAATGTTTTTATAAATTATTTTAAATAAAATAAATAATAATTAAAATAATAGAAATCAAATCTAAAAAAATAAAAAATTAATAGATGAAGAAATTAAAATAATAATAATTACAATTCATAAATTATTTTAAATAAAATAAGTAACAATCAAAAGAATGAAAATCAAATTTGATAAATAAAAAATTTTAATTCAAAAATAAAAAAATAAAAAATAATTATAAAAATAATGATCAAATTTAATATAAAAATTAAATTTTAAGAGATGAAATTAAAAAAAACAAATATTCAATATATATATATATATATATATCAAAAGTTTAAGTACCAAATTTGATATAATTAGCAAATAATATAAAATTTCTAAATTTATCACAACTTTCAAAAAAATATTTTTTGTCAAAAATAAAAAAATAATTTCTAGAAACTAAACTAAATTTTTTTAATTAGAAAATATTTTCTATTAATTTAAAAGGATTTTTTATTAATCAACTTTTATAATAATAAATAAATATAAAAAAAATTTAAACCACTTTCTAAAAAAACAAACGTGCCCTTTATCTCTACCTAAACAATGTCAGTATTTGATTTAGATATGATTTGGTCTTTCACACATATCATGTGATTTCAACAAGACTTGTATATTCTAAGGAGAGCACATTAATAGCCTTTTCTAATGTGTTTTCTTTTTAAAATGTATTGTAATAATATATATTTTTTATTTTTTAAAAATATAAAAAGATTAATTTAAAGTGAAAAATGAAAAAGCTTAAGATTTTTCAAAAAATAACGGGTACTGCAATCTTCGAGTGGCTGGAAAGTTTAATTAATACCATAATTTTGAATTATTGATGTCCTTCAACTAGAAAAAAGGCTAGGCTTGATTTGAGTATGGGGCTATGGCATCCTACTTTTATTCCACCACCACAAATTTAGCTCGTAGTATTCAAGCATTTATTTCACCGCTCCCGTTTTAGCTTGCCTTGCCCACCATTTGAAAGTTCGTTGCCATGATGATTTAATTATCTTCACCATCCTCTTTTTTACTTTTGGCTCCGATTCCTTTTGTAATCAGCCTCATTGTAGCAAAATTGAACTCTCTGCTCCTGACATGTCTAAGGTTTTATATATATATATATATTAAATTTGGAATTTGATTGATATATTCGAGAGCAAATGGCAAACCATCATTCCCAGTTTTCCACGTCCTTTGATTCCTTAAAGGTGTTCAAGTCAACTTCTTCTTTTTTTCCCCTTTGAAACTCCATTGCGTCTGTTTTTTGTTATTCTATTAAACAGTGTTTTATAAGAATTTAATTTAATTTATATATTTTTAGATTATTTTAATATGATGATAATAAAAATAAAAAAATATTTTTGAAATATTTCCAAACAAAAAAATATTTAAAAAAATTCACTATCAAATATTATTTATTGTTTGTTTATTTTTTAATCCTTAACCCCACCAAGTATATATATATAATTTAAAAGGAGAATTGCGAGATGCTAAACAGATTTGTTGTGCCAATATCTTTTCGGAATCTAAGCTCATAGTCGTTGAATTTCTTTCTTTGAGTCCCACTCATTCGTTGGAGTTCTCAAGTGACTTTGAAGACAACTTGCATGGACTCTTCTAATCACACTGTACATTGAGAAAATGTATAAACGACGAAGTCATAAAATATGAGTTAATAATTGAAAAGGTGGTCACAATGTGCCTGCCGATTGCCATATGTCAAATTGCAGCCCTTAGACTTCTCTACAAGGCTGGTTTTTTTTTTTTTTAATTTATGTAGGGTGTTCAGGTTAGCTTACGCGCACCACAACTAATCCCTACGGCCTATTAAATACCCTGCAAACCCAGTAGGCATATAAGGCACCGCGAGGGTAACAAGCGTGCACGCCAGGGCTCGAACCCAGATGCAGTAAAAAAAAACAAGTCACTTTCACCACTAGACCAAACATTAATTTGCCTACAAGGCTGCTCTTCCTCCTCCGGTCAAGTGAAAGTCACATTTTCTTATGGCCAATTTATATATATCAGATACCATAAGACTCAGTTAACTTATATAGCATTGTTGACGCACGCAGTGATTGGAAAGTCTAATGGTCCTATTGTATTTAGGAGCTAAAATATCTGGAATTGTTCCTGTTAGAGTGTTAAGAGGCTGCTTTGATTAAAAAATTTCTTTGGGATTTTTAATTTGGCTTTAAAATCATGGATGTTTTTGGACTGACTTTCCCACATGGAGGTTAATTTTCTCAATTGTTAAGATTTTTCATGTTTTTAAGAGTTTGAATATAATAAAAAAGGATGTAGTTTAATAAAATATTTATAACTTTTGAATCCAATTGTTATATCGAGGTGGATTTTTAAAAGAGGATTCTAAATATTCTATTTTTTATAGGTTTAAACTTTTATAGCCAACAAAGATTGATAAGGCTTTCAAATAAGACATAAATTAATGTTTAGGATTTTTTTTTATATAGTTTGGATTTTTTTGTATTTAATTTATGACTTTTAATTTCATTAAAATTTTATTAATTATGATGTTTTTCTTGTATTTAAGCAATCTTATAGGCTTTTCTTTTAATGAAAAATTATTGAATAAAAGACTTTTCTGAATATATCAGATTTTTCTTTATAATTAAGCTCTACAACCTCATGGTTTAAAAACTGCAGTTTCTTTTTAATTATTTAGAGTTTTACAACTATAAGAATTGAGAAACCCTAACTTTTACCGACACTATATATAATATGGAATTATTTTCTTTTATTTCTTCAAATTAACCAATATATATTATTCAACTTGAGAGTAAAATATAATTTCAATAAACCCTTTATATTTCTTAAGAGCACTGATAATTGTCAATTGATCAAATTTATTAAAACTTAACACACAAGTTATCAAATATCGAAATCAAATTAACACGAGGTTAAATTAAATGAATAATTCCTATATAAAGAAGTAACAAGCAGGCAGAAAGTTCCAAATGGACCTCACTTGATATATATATATATATATATTGTTGCGTGGCAATTACTCGATGACTATTTCCCAGCAGTTCCACCTACTCTTAACGTCTATAATTGTAGTGGAAAGAGTAATGGACTTTGAGGTGCAAGACGCTCGAGAGAGGGCTGTCTCTACAGACCGAGCCTGTGCCCACATGCTAAATATGAATTGTTTTCGGTCTTCACAAAAAGAAAGGAAAAAGGCATCACCGATGATGCCGATGAATGATAAGTTATCCATTTTTTTTTTTTCTTTTCTTTTACTTTATTGAGTATTTTTTTTAGATTAACGTGGGTGTCCAGACCAGCTTGCGTGTACCACGACTAATCCCACGGGCCCTGAAGTTAACGACCATGTAAGCCTCCAGTGGCTATCATATGAGCAACCAATTATTCAAACCTGAGACCATAAAAGAAATAAACCCTTTAATTCCAAGTCCTTATCACTTCATCATCTATATAGTTACTTTATTGAGTATTTAACAGTGAAGGTCAAATATTTGGGCCGGCTTTTGCTTGTTTGAGTGACGTGGGTGGCAATTATTATCTCGTGCACTCCACTTGGAAAATCCACAGACAAAGTTTTCAAAACTTTCCACCCAATGAAAAATGTTACGATGTTTATAGATATTGATGTAAATTTTTTTATTATTTAATTTTATGTTATTAAATAGAATTTTTAATTTGGTAATTGAATAGGGCTGAATGTTTTATAGGCTTTTCTAGACATCTTTTTCTATATATGTTGGTTCAAAATTTTAGGTCAATTTGTGCATTGGATAGGTCTTTGTATCTTGTTTAATTTTTCTTAGATTTTAATTGAATTTAAATAATTAAAAATACTTTTGGAATATATTTTATTAAATATATTTTTATTTTTATTTTATTTTTGAATAAGATTGCAACACTCTTTTTATAATATTAGCAAACTCTTTTTGTGTACAACCCTTCATGA